TCAGGTGTTGTATGGAGGTACTGAGGGGCGTGGCCTGCAGGCCAGCTACGTAGTGTTGGACAGCGATGGCGACCGCCTCGTCCCAACACACTCACTCTCTCCGACGCACACCGACGGGACGACCGGAGGTCTGAGACCGCTGAGCCGTTCCTTTGTTTTCCCGGGAGGAAAACCCCCCTCAGCCAGCTTCTGTTGGTTTAATCCAGATGAGGCCTGCAGTGGAGGTGTGTTTACTGACCCACAGAGAGGGTGGGAGCTTTGTGCTTCAGTTCAAATGAGGTCTTAATTACACCTGTAGTTTCTGTATGTGTCGTGATTTAGTGTTCATGTTGACAAAAGGTTGCTGTCTGGCATGGCTATAAATGTGGAAACCTCTCCACTCCCTGCAGGTATGGGCGCTGTAACTGTGCTCTTCCTCTTCCTGTTGTTCTGCACTCTGCTTGGAGGCCTTTTCTTTTGGAACAGGTTAACACACAGGCTTAATCTCACACACTCCTCTCTAACGTACCTGGTGCTTATTCTGCTTTCAGTCTGGTTCCCAGTCATCCCGGTCATGGTAGTCTAAGAAGCTTGGAAAGAAAAGCGTCTCGACTTCTTTAAGTTTCGTGAAGACATTTCATAGGCAAAGCTTCTTGAGCTCTAACACCAAATGGTGGAATGACCGAGGCTTTAAGCCCTAGTGGGAGTTGTCCCTGGAGAGGGTCGTTGACCCATTATTCATCATGTGACTCATCACATGAGCCGATGTATTAGTGATGTGTCAGTCGTGAACGAAACGGCTCTTAGAGCCGACTCTTTGAAGTGAACGATGCGAGCCGGCTCCTTATTGGTAGCCATGTTTTTTTTTCTTTCTCTCACCCTCTCTCTTGCACTTTTTTCTGCTTCACTCTGCACACCTTGTGCTTTGCTGGGCAGAGGGGGGAGGGGCGGTAGTTGCACTCAGTAGCAGTGTTGCCAACTCCTCAGTAAGGAAAATCGCTATTGGTTGTCCTAAAAGTCGCTA